TTTATTTATTTATTTATTTATTATTTTTGCAGAAAATGTGTAATATTGGTAAGTGTGAAGCTCTATAGAGCCTAAAAAATGTCATGTTATTTTTCTCAAAACTTTCATTGTTTAAGAGGTCACTTTACTTTACTCATTCATTCTGTGCTACAAAGCTGATGAGTAGATTGTAATCAAAGGGGATGTTTATAGACTGCTGTTATAATTGTATTGACTTTTTCAACTATAGGGCCCTTTTTGTTATTTTTTTTGAAAAATATTTGTTCCTTACGTGGAATTTATGGGTTGGAAAGGGACTAAAAGGAAATTTATTAAAGGCTATTGTTTAGCTTATCTGGGAACATGGTGGATGCCCTTCATCATGCCGACACTCACTTTCTTTCTCTATAATTATATTTACCGATAATAATACTATTATTTGTAGGCATTTTTTTCTTGTGATTTTGTGTGGATTAAACGTAGTAAAGATTAAAATTAAAAAACATTTTATGTAATTTCATGTAAATTTTTATACTTTGATTCATTGATTGGAATTACAATATTACGAGTTTGGGACAAAGAAGGATGTTATGCCAAGCTTAGAGAATAATTGAACGACGATGAGACACGCACATCTTATCATGAACATGTTTGCCCTCGGCGGAGGCTGTTTCAGTCTATGAAGCCCACCCGGACCCTTGGCCGTCACGATGCTGAATAATCCACCAAAAAATTGGCCCCTGCACAAGGATGAAACGCATAAGTCGAGAAATGGTCCAAATTAGGAGCTCACTTTAATTGATAAAACTACCAATTTATTGATATTATTTGATGTGATTTAAAATAATGGGTAAAATGAAAATTGGCTAATATAAATAGATCTGTTATGCCAGAAATACTCGAACCGCTGGACCGCTCCTCTCGAACCGGGTTGTGTCTCCTTGATCGTCGGTACCTGCAAAACACGTCGGGGGTGGTCCCGGCGCGAACACTCCGACGCCCAAGTCAGTGATGGTCTAGAGAGAAAACGGCAGAGTAACGAGATAGTTCGTGAATGTGTGTTGTGTAAAATGAATGAACCTGCTCCCTTTTATAGGAGAAATTTGGAGAATCCCAGTGGAATAAGAAGTCTTCTCCATATCAAACTCTTAATTAAGAAAAGGTATTCCGAGTCTCGAGAGTCCTTGTTGCGACTAACTCCTTCGTAACTTGATCCCGAAGCCATCTTCGGGTTCTAGCCCCTTCGACGGCCTATGAGGGCCGCCGAACACACGAGACCACCGGGCACCCCCCAAGACCGAGCACCCGCTGGAGGCCTCGCGCCGAGCACTCACCCACGCCGAGCACTCTTCATGCCGGATGATGCCGCGCCAGTCACTTCATCCCGGCCACCTCCAATGCCGAGCACTTGAGGGGCGCCGAACACCATGCGACGCTGAGCACTCCCAACCGCCCGCCTACCATAATGCTTAGCCGGTCACCTCCATACTGACAATGATGACCGGGTCACGACCGGTTCCTCACGAGCCATTACTATCGGCCACATCAAGATCGAAAAAATTATTTATTGTTGGAAATTTGAACTAATTTATTATATTTTAGATCGAAAAAAAAAATATTTATTGTTGGAAATTTGAACTAATTTATTATTTATTTTAAAGTGGCGTGTTGGAATTATTTATCCTCGTGGAATTGGTGGAAATGAATAAGTCAACGTTATAAAATCACACTATAATCAAACTCCATTGAAAACCAAGGCCAACATATAATTTAAATAAATAAATAAAAATATAAAGTTATGCAATAATTGAGAGGCTCTCTCTATTGCCAACCACCAAACCATTTTTGCTTTTATACTTTTTTCCCTTTTTTTTTTTCTCATAATAACTAAGTCAATCTGAGCTAATTTTGTATTTTCATTAACTTTGTTCATCAGAAATGGAATATTTGGATTAATTTGGAGAGAAATGATAATATTCATGCAGAAAATTATAAATTAAATAAAAAAAAATCAATTTTCTACTAATTAATAAATAAATTCAAAGTGCTCCCTTTGGACCCTAGAAACTCCATAAAATTCAAACAATTATAAATTTAAATGAATCCATATGAAAATATAATTATTTTGCCACGAACAAAGTAACTGAAAATTTGTAAAAATATAAAAATAAAGAGAGAATCATTCAGGTCACCTTGTTTTGTCTACTTTATTATTATTATTATTATTATTATTATTATTATTATTATTATTATTATTATTATTATTATTATTATTATTATTATTATTATTATTATTAT